TTCAAATTAGTTTTTTAAAAGTTTTTAACTTGTGATATATTCACCCCCTCTATATCGAAGCCTATCGTATAACACGTGGTATCGATAGCTCCGGTTCATTCTGTGCTTAAGATTTGCTTATTATAAGAATGGCTACCGAACCTAAGGGAGCATATAATAGAGCACCAATTTCACCGGAAAAAAGTATGGCTATTGGGAAGCTTGTACGCGTGTTCATGTCAACTCGGTTGACAAGGGTATATGGGACCCCATCCTGAATGGTCCTAATGAAATTACAATGATCAATAATGAAGGTGTTACCGTACCTAAACCGGAAGCATAATGTGATGATAATGATAAGAAGTTGTGGTCACATGATTGGAAGGCACAAAATATTCTCACATCCGCACTTGATGGTGATGAATATTATCGTGTCTCTCATTGTGAGACCGCCAAAGCTATGTGAGATGCATTAAAAGTTGCCTATGAGGGAACTAATGAGGTCAAAGCTAGGTTCAATACCTTAAATCAAAATTTTGAGCTATTTCGCATGGAGCATGGCAGGAAGATTTACAAGTTTGATTATCCCACTGAATTTGATGATGATGAAGATGAAACTCATATGGATGGTGAACAACCTATGAAAGTTGCTCATGATGTTCCTGAGGGAGATGCTACAATGTAAGATGTTTCTCATGAAAATGATCAGGGTACATGTGTTGGTACTAGTTTTAATGATACTTCATATATCATGACGATGCTTTAGAATATGCAATTGAGGCAAGACGAGAGGTATCCAGGGGATTTTAGGAGGCGAGATACCTTTGAAGCTGCTCAAGAAGAGAGAATCTATCTAATGCAACAACATATGTCTATTTAGGATTCCAACTTTGAGACTTTTACTGCATATATGATGGAGAGTCTTATGTCTATACAGAATAATATAAGTGTTAATCTTGATGTTGTTTTAGCAAGGACTAATCACTTGATCTTGGTCGAAGAAAAGAATTATGTCATTATGAACGACTTTAGCGTGAGATGTGTGAATTCTTGGATTATCACTATGGTTTAGGTTGAAATCTAAATCACATAACTTTGACTCTAGTAACTTATTCTACTAAACATATGTCCTTCCTAGAAAACTAATTTATTATTGCAATCTATTGGACCAAATACATATTCAAAAATTCTAACTAGAGAAATTTCATCGCTAAACAACCACATACATCGTAAGAAAACAAATAAATGATATAATTTAGAATTTAAATTACTTAACTTTTATTTCCGTAACTTATTTCATTTAACGAATGAACTTAGAAATTGTTTGATAATTGCACTCTTATGACTAAACACATACTTGAAAATTTCAATTGGCGAATTTCTATCATAAAAAAACACATCAATATTGTGATAAATAATCTAAATCACTTGACTTTAATTTTCGTAATTTATTTCACTAAATAGAATATGTACATAAAGAAAATGAGAAAATAAATAGATAAATATATAATATTTAATTCTTAAAAATTGACAATATTTATTAACTTTTTATGCTTGTAAACAACTTCAAAATGCACTTTTTATATCTAAAAATAGTCAATTTAAGATACTAATGTAATATTTTTTTTCCACTAAGAGCATTTATAATGAGGATTTTTTATTTATTATCTTTTCTGTATTATTAAAAAAAATTAATTGTATCACATAATTTATAATTTTTACTTATAATAAAAATTAATTATAATTTTTAGTATATATGAAAATGGAAAAATAACATTTAAAATAAAGTAAATTTCAATTGAGAAGATTTATTCAAAGAGATTTAAATATTTTCTTTTAAACTTTTCTCTATTTCTTTTCTTGGTCTTGGTTTTGGTATATGTGTTTATCTCTTTTTTATTTCTACTTTTTAGTTAAAAACAAAGAGTGAAATAAGCATATGGTTTTCCTTTTTTAAATGAGAAAGTGTTATTTATTTCTATTTTTATTGATTACGTTATATTTTTTAATACATAAAATATTAGAAATTAAGGATGTATGCGGGTTGGGTTGGATTGGATTTGTCTCAATCTATTATCCAATTCGCTCAAATTTTAATGGATTGAGTTCGTCGTTTAATCCGCAAATTTATTGTCAAAAAAATTGACCCGAACCGACCTGTTTATTTATGAGTTGAGTTATGTTGAGTTTGAGGGTTGTGTTTCAAATAAATTTTATAATGATTTTTTTTGTTGATTTAAGAAAAATGAAACACATTTAATACAATCATACTCATTTATAACACTCAAATTCGATGAAATACATCCTATAATATCTAATAAAATTCATCAACGCAACATAACATTTGATAACACTTGTTTTGATAAAAAACATTTAATAACACTTAATAGTAATATAACATTCAATAAAACATGTTATTTCCATAATTACATAAGTTGGAAATGATACAAAAGAAAATAAGAAATAATATATAATCTTATAATTACCTAAATTCATTGGTGTAATATAATTATTGGTGGAATAATTTTCTAAAAGAAATTATGGTTATTAGTGATGATATTAATTTAATATTTTTATTTAAAATAATAATAAAAATAATATAAAAAAAAACTAAAATCACATTAATGGTTGGATCAACGGGTTCACGGTTTGCAAAATTCAAACTCAATATCCAAACTAAAATTATACGAATTGTTATAGGTTGGGTTGAATATATCCGTAAATAAATAAATTCAAATAATTTTTATATTATTTCAGTTTGGATAGACGGATTCGTGAGTCGACCCGCATCCATGATCATCCTATTAGAGAAATGTTACTTTTTCTAAAAATATGATAAAAAATTAAGTATATCAATTCATTATAAAAATGACTTTTTTAAATTTATAAAGAATATTCAAAGATTTAGTTTTTCAAAAAGTAATTAACAATACTAATCAATTAAAATTAAACTTTTTAATATATATAAAGCATATGAAATAATCTATTTTTAAAATATAATAAGCAATTTTTTAATGTATTTAGCATACTTAAAGATCTATTTTTTCTCTAAAAAAACAACTAATAATACTAATTGATTGAAAATTTGATGTTTTTTCAATAAATAAAACATACAAACTTATATAATTTTTCTAAAATACAATCAACAATTAAGTATATTTATTAATTAAAAATCAATTTTTAATATATAAATCATACTCATGTCTATTTCTTCTCTAAAAACTAATTAACAAAATTAGTTAATTAAAATTTTTTTCAATACATAAAGCATACAAACTAATTTGATTTTTTTTAAATACAATCTATAATTATATATACTAATTGATTAGATTTTTTTACAATATATAAAGCTTACTCAATAAATCAATATTTTTGTTTAAAAAACAATTAACAACACTAATTAATTATATATTTGATGTTTTTTAATATGTTTTTAAGCATATATGTTTTTTTAAATATATAAAATCTACAAAATAATTTATCTGTTCATAGTTCTATAAAATAATATCACTCTTCACTATTTTTTGTTTAACTTTCTTTTAATATGTCATGGATATATTTTTAAAATTTTGAATTATTTCGTGTGTTTTATATATATTAAAAAATTTAAATTTTTAATAAATTCATTTATATATCAAAATATTTTTTCTTTTAAAAAATATTGTATTCTAATCTATTTCTCCTATAGCATAATCTTTATTATCCTATCATTGAATTAATTAAATAATTAAGATTTGAAACTAAGAGATTGAGAAAAATAGAGTTGGAGAGATCCAAAAATCACCCTATAAATATAATGATTATATTCTCAAATATTTGTCAATATATATCAGAGAAGAAAATAAAACAGAAACTAACCGCTTAGAATAAACCTAAACTCAACCAGAGAGGATTCAGAATCAAAAGCCAACAAAGAGGACCACACTCCTCTCATAGTACGTCACATTCTTTTTGCTTATTCCTTTTTTTCTGCTTTTTCATCACATTCTTTATTCTTAAACTGAAAAAAAATAATTTTTTCTGCTTAAAGATCGTTTTTTATCGTGAGATTGGATACCCAAATTGCAAAACCAATCTACTGATATGAGTTTTGGAATAATATTGAATACCCATTTCCAATTTCACCCGGTTTGATGATATTGTTTATTTTGTTTTTTGATTTTTAACGTGTTGTTGTTTTGTCTTAATGCTTATGATTATGAGGCTGTGTTGAACTTGCATGTGTGCTGAGTCAGTCTTTGTGTCTGTTAGTGGTATGGAATTATTGTTTCTTTAGGTTTTGGTTTTGAATTCTTTATGTTGGTTTTGCTGTTGCAACTCTCTTGGTTCTTCTCTGTCAAGATTCTGGAAGATTCTATTCTATTGTATTAGGTGTTAAAACTTTGTGTGATTGTGTGAATGAATGGAATTTAATTGTGTTATCTAATCATTTGTGCAGTTTAGATGTTTGTATTTTTGTCTATATATTAATTGGTTCATTGTACTTGTGTTGATTAATGATATTCACCACCTTTTTTTTATCTGCTGTGTTTGGCTTGGTTTTAACTTTGAATAGTATTCAATATAGATTTGGCCTTGTTGATGTTGTTTGTGGCTGCTTTGTTGTTTCTTACTATGCATTGAAATTGAATGAATGATTTGGCTATACTTTGTTTCCTATCGATGGTGAAGAAGTATTGATGTTGGCAGTTTCGGTGCTTGGTAGATAGTTGAGTTAAATAACTGCTGTCATATGCGCACCATACCTACTGTGTTGTCGTCTCCGTCATCTCTCTGACTTTCTGCGACTGTATTGTGCCGTGCGTGTGTGTATTGCCTTAAGTTTCTGTTTTGTGCGTAACCATTTGTTTGAATTTGCTATGATCATCAAATGGTGAAAATATAAGTTGTTTATTGAATTGGATAAGTTTTGATGGCTGATGTGATAATTTCTTGTTTCTGTTTAATGTTTGGAGTACTATATACTTCTGTATTCTGGTTTATATCAAACTTGTGAAACAATCATTGGTAATATATTGCAGATGGATGCACACGGCACGGGGCACAGTCAAATAATTGAAATCAGGGTAGATCTGAATGATCCAGGAAGGAAGATTTGCGGGGAAGCACCATGTGGATTCTTAGATGCCGGATCCATCTCTCTGGATTCCAAAGAACGTTCAACTTCCATGCGGAAGCTTTTGACGGCAGTGATCCTCTGTGTTATTTTCATGACCGTTGAACTAGTTGGCGGCATCAAAGCAAACAGTCTTGCAATATTGACTGATGCAGCGCATCTTCTTTCTGATGTTGCAGCGTTTGCCATCTCCTTGTTTTCTTTGTGGGCTGCAGGATGGGAAGCTACTCCTCGTCAATCATATGGGTTTTATAGAATAGAGATTCTCGGTGCTTTGGTTTCTATCCAGTTAATATGGCTGCTTGCTGGGATTATTGTATACGAAGCCATAGATAGACTCATTACTGGTTCTAAAAATGTTGATGGGTTTATAATGTTTCTAGTTGCTGCATTTGGTCTCGTGGTTAACATAATTATGGCTGTGTTATTAGGTCATGATCACGGCCACGGTCACGGTCATGGTCACGATCATGGCCACGGACACAGTCACGGACTTACAGTTTCTACTCATGATCTTACAAAAGACGAGCACCATCATCATGAGCACGGTCATCATACTCATGACAACCACACTCACCATGATGAAGAAAATCATTCAAAAGATCCATACAATCATACTCACGAAGACCACATTCACCATCACACCGACAAAGGTGTTTCTGAACCACTTCTCGCCGAATCAAAAGACAAGTCCAAGAAGAAGAGAAACATAAACGTGCAGGGCGCTTATCTTCACGTTCTCGGCGACTCCATCCAAAGTATTGGAGTAATGATTGGAGGAGCAGTGATATGGTATAAACCAGAATGGAAAATAGTTGATTTAATTTGCACTCTCATCTTTTCAGTAATTGTATTAGGGACAACAATCAACATGTTGCGAAACATTTTGGAAGTTCTAATGGAAAGCACGCCTCGAGAGATCGATGCTACTCAGCTTGAAAGGGGGATATTAGATATTGAAGAAGTTGTAGCTGTTCATGAGCTGCACATTTGGGCCATTACAGTTGGGAAGATTTTATTAGCATGTCATGTTAAAATCAACCGTGATGCCGACGCAGAGGTGGTGTTGGACAAGGTTGTAGACTACATCAGAAGGGTTTATAACATCAGTCATGTAACTATACAGATAGAGCGCTAGTTTTATTTCCTTCTTTTTTTCTATTGATTGTTATGATGGGAGGAATTTTCAAATTAGACTAGTTGTCATTGTGTTTCAGGAACTCAATTCTCTTCATGAAAATAATAATACTTCTTTACTCTTGTTTCTACTTGTTTTAAGAGTGTGGATTGAGCATTGCTTATTTGCATGCCAAAATTTTTTCATACATGTGATCTTATTGTTAAATGCTTCATGGCCACTTTTTTTATACTTCTAGATTTGCAGGTGTTAGAGATTTTAACTTGCCATTGTGAATAAGGGTTTGTTCCTAGAATAAGGGTTTGTTTCTAGAATAAAGGAAACAAATTAGAAATTGACTTGTTCTCATTAAAATGTAATTATTTAGTGTAATTGCCAATATAGCCCTGTAACCTCTATATATACGAGAAATAATAATGAGAAAAGCATGAAGCCAAGAATTCTTGACAGCCATATATCTGGGATTTCGAACTTTTAATATTTTCAAACTATCCTTACTAATTTATCTATCAAATGTTACCATTCTTTTAAAATTTTCACTTTTTTGAAAATTTAAAAACAAAATTTTCGGTTGTTATTTTGAAATTTCAGGCATATTTTTTTTCTTCGTATTTTTGAAAATCACGCGTTTATATCGAAAATTTTTAAAAAAATCGGTATCCAATATCGAAAATTTTCAATTTTTTTAAATATATATGAAATTTCTGGTAACAAAATAGAAATTAGGGAGCCGGTAGGGTTATCTATAGATTTGTGTAGCAATTGTACGCAGTTCTTCACCACAGACAAAATATGTTTTCTATGTAACAAGTTTTAATTAAATGTTTTCTTGCTCTTATATGATATTGATAACATACTTTTTATGTTACGTAAATGACAAATATTTAAGTCTCGATCTGAAGTATTAGCTTGGGCACAAAATACTGACAAGCAACATGGTATTATAGTTCTGACTGTTCGTTGTGATACTGCAAATAGCCAGCGAGGTAGAAAAGATAAATTGATTATGGGTTGTGAGAGAGGAGGAAATTATAAAAGGAAGAATACATCTGAAAGCAGTAAATCCTTATAAGACATCTATAGTATGAAAGTGAAATGTCTTTTTATGCTGAGATCTGCGCCGAGTGGTACTGGTTGGAAGGTGATGGTTAGACGTGGGTTTCACAATCATAAATTATTTGAGGATTTAGATGACCATGGCATATTGAGTCATCTAAAAGTTCATGAGAGACAGTTTTTGAATGACATGACAAAGTACAACATGACTCCACAGTACATAGTTTCTGCATTGAAAGACAAAGATCCAAAAAACCTCACTAGTTTTACCCGAGTGTATAAAGGTAGAGCTACATACAATGCGAGTAAGAGAGGTTCATTGACGGAAATGCAAATGTTGTTTACTCTTATTCATAGAGAAAAATATATGTGCTTGCTGATATTTTCTGGACACATCCTAATTCAGTGAAGTTGTTGAATATATTTCACTTGGTGTTGATTTTTTATTGTACATACAAGACAAATAGGTAATGTGCATCATGATCATACCTAGATATCATTTCAACATACTTTGATTTATCTGATTTTTGATTATTTGCATCGTGATCATATAGGTATCGATTACCACTGTTTGAGATTATTGGTGTTACGTTAACAAAATTGATGTTTTCAGTAGGCTTTGCCTATTTGGAACATGAAATGGAGGATAAATTCAAGTGGGCACTGGAGAAGCTCAAACAGTTGTTCTCTTTCGAGAAATTGATACCAAATGTTGTGGTGACGGGCTGAGAACTTGCGTTGATGAATGTAATTGAAGTTGTGTTTCCAAATTCAATTCATCTTTATGTTTGTTCCATATTTCTAAAAATGTTATCATGAAATGTAAAGAGTATGCTAAATCAGAAAGACATGAACATGTCATAGATCTACGGAACAACATCATGTATGCTAATAGAGAAATTAAATTTGTCGCACACTTGAAGCACTTTGAGACTGTTTGTGCTGATATTTCTTTGTTTGTTAAGTATGTGAGTGAAATATGGTTGACACCTTATAAAGAAAGGTTTGTTGCTACTTGAACTAACAAAGTCACTCATTTAAGGAAGACAACAACAAACAGGTACACATACTTCTTTTAGATATTATTACATTACTAAGCATAATTTATCATTTTGGCTCATTATGGTTTAATTATTTTGATTTTGGGTGGAGTCTTCTCATTGGAGACTAAAAAACATGTTGACTATAAGCCGGAGAGATTTATGCCAAAGTTGGGATGCTGTGAACACCATGTTGAATTTGCAGTTAGGTTAAATCAGGTGTTGTTTTAAAAAAGTATTGTAAACATTGAGCATCGGTATAACACTCAAATCTATACCCACTTGCACGGTTTTGTTTCAAGCCAATGTATACAACACATAAGGAAGGAACTAGAAAGTATAAAATTTGTTGCTACAAGCAAAGATGCTTGTGGTTGCTTCATTAGAACTACACATGAGTTACACCGTGCGTATAAATTTGCTGATTTTCAAATACAAGGCTTGTCTGTTCCTTTAGAACCAATTCATGTTTTTTGGGAAGAAATTACACATTGAATAACATGTTGACGGTCATGAAGATAATGAAACAAAGTTGGATTTAGAAGTAGAGTGTGAAGAGTTGAAGATATATTTCAAATCTTTGGATATTGTAGGCCAGCGGTTGTTGAAGAAAAAGGTTTGAGAACTAACACATCCATCCACAACTTCTATGTGTCTATCGTCGGTGAAGTACAAGCCAAACAGGGGAGTTAAGAAGGGCAAAAAGAGTGAAGAGAATGATGTGCATAGTGACCCTTGACAGTGAGATTATGGTGAGGGCTTGCAGAGGAGTCAGACTACAAAGAGATCATGCACGAAACTAACAAGAATTCAACCTTCAAGTATGTCGGATCAAAGTCAATTGTCCACTACATCTTCAAGACATCTTTACTTATCTTAGTTTTCTGGTTTCTTGCATCCATACATTGATGACATTGTTGATGTGGGTGACGATGGAAATTGTGGTTTTCGGGCTATTGCAGCTTTACTTGGATGGGGCGAAAAGTCATGGTTGTTGATTCAGACGCAGTTAGATACTCAAGTTTATCAACATCTTAAATTGTTTTCCAATTTGTTCTATGACACAGTCTTTGAAGTTAGGAATTCCTTAAAAGTAGAATACTTAGGTGTGCAAGGTCGAGAAAAATGGATAACGAATCCTGATATGGGTTACCCTATTGCATGTAGATACAATGTCGTATTTGTCTCCCTGTCATAGTGTCTTACCATAGCTCCACTTATGTATACGAGCAGACATAAAATCATTGATGTTGGTTTTGTCAACGGTAATCATTGGGTTCAGGTAAAGTTGAAACCTGATAGTCCATTGTCTCTCGTCACTAATCGTTGGAAACAAAATGTACTCAAGATGCAAAAACATGAAAATCAGCATATGCATGACGAATTATGCACTAGGAGGATGAAGTTAGGAAGTCATCCTAATTTGCCATATAATCTTGTGGACAATATGTATCTATTATATGTGATGATTTTTTTATGAAACCATTTATGCATGCCGCTATATCAAAAATATTGAAATTGTATATATTTTTTTGAAATTCTAGATGCATACCGAAAATTTTGAATTTATGAAATTTCTAGTATTAAGAAATTTTTAAATTTCTGAAAGTTTTTTGCCAGTTTACATAAATTTTTTATATTATGGTATATTTCACTCGGAAATTTTGAAATTTTTCCTATGTTTCCCTGGACATTTCAAAATTTCTTGTAAATGCCTCACAAGAACGGTAAAACATGGTAATTTTTCCAAATTTTCGGTATAGTCACAAAATTTTCAGTACAATACTATAAAATTCATAATTTCTAAAAAATTTCCAATAATAAAATGGTAAGTTCGCTCAAAATGAAGGGATGTCAAGTTCAATTGGGGGGTGTCAAGTTAAATTCTCCGGATGTTATGGTCCTAAAACATGCCCAAATATGAATCCACAGACTGCTAGGAGGTACAATACCTAATTCATACACTTTCGATAGAAATTTGTTCATTAGCACACACATTTTCCAAACATCAGCATAGGTATGCTATACTTTAGAATAACTCATTCATACTTCGATAATTGGCTTGCTTCACCTATGTATTCGAGCAGACATAAAACTATTGATGTTGATTTTGTCAACGACAATCATTGGGTTCAGGTAAAGTTGAAACCTGATAGTTCACTGCCTTCCGTCACTGATTGTTGGAGACAAAACTATACTGAAGATACAAAAACATGAAAATCAGCATATGCATGACGAATTAGATACTGGGAGGACGAAGTTAGAACGTCATCTTAATTTGCTATGTAATCTTGTGCACAATATGTATCTATTATATGTGATGAATTTTTTATAGAACCATTTATGCAGACTGCTGTGTCAAAAATATTGAAATTGTATATTTTTTAAAATTTTGAGTGCATGCTGGAAATTTTGGAATTTTCGGTATTTTGTCCCGGACATTTCAAAATTTCCAACGAATGCCTCACAGAAACGGTAAAATACAGTAATTTATCTAAATTTTCGATATAGTCACAAATTTTTTGATACAATTCTGTAAAATTCATAATTTATAAAAAATTTCTAAGAATAAAAAGGTAAATTTATTTAAAGTGAGAGAATGTTAGGTTTAAGTGAAGAGTATCAAGTTAAATAGTCTAGCTATTATGATTCTAAAATAGACCCAAATATGAATCCAAAGACCCACCTAACATTATTTTTAAAAATTATATTTTAGAATAACTCACTCATTCTTTGATAATTGATTTGCTGGTCGGAGTCTATATCAATTTTTGTCGGGCACAACTTTGTCTCCTAATGTAGGTTTTTTCCTTGATCTTGCTTTTATGATTGATTTGAACAATAAGTGGTATTACTTTAAGTTTAATTAGTCACAAATTCTTTTAATTTAAATTAAAATTTCCC